CACTTCCGGCTTTTTTCTTTTTGCTTATGTGGTGCTGAGGAATTGAACCCAGGGCCTCATGCATGCAAGGCAAGCACTCTACCACTGAGCCATCTTCCCAGCCCCATTATTTGTTCTTTATGATCATTATGCAAACTATTTTCTACTGGACTTTGGGATTTTTTTCTCAGTTTCTTGAAGTTTTTTTTTATATTTTAGACAGACATTGACCTTAACTGTGATAAAAGACAGAAATATGCATTTCATCATTTGTCAATGACGCTACTTCAGGTGACCCCATGAGGCCATGGTAATTTTTCAGACTTGTGGTCACAAGTAACAAAAATGGTTGAAGATGAAACTGTAGACAAGGTAGGAGTAGGACAGCTGTAACCACTTTGGAAAACAGCTTGGCAGATTCTGAGAAGGCTAAAGAAACACCTTGTACTTGAGCATGGGCTCACTCCATCTCACGTTTACCTGAAAGTACATGTTCTCACCAGAAAGCTACTGCAAATAGGAGCTCATGGTCTATGAGGGAATAAAAATCAGTACTATAGCGGTGAGCGTAAAGAGAAGGAACAGATTCATTTAGATTTAGACAGTTAGGAAAACTTCCATTAGGAAACAAAGCACAAATTGAAGTCTGAATAGCAATTAGTCATATTCCAAGAATGTGACTATGACAGTTTTAAGGTTCAGGAGAAAACAGTAGCCTAGTAAAGGAAATCAAAGGAGCTATAGTCTATCTTCAACACAGGAATGAGACTAGAAAGCTCAACTATCACACAGGACATTTATATTGTATTATGGACTTGTGGATTTAATTCTAATATTAATGAAGCAGTACTAAATTAAAAGAAGGGCACGGACAAAATCAAAGCTGAATTCTCAAAGGAAAATACTAATATCCTATAATGTAATGTGAAACGTAAGTCATAAGAATATGGTAGTGGGAACCTAGGTAAGAAGTTACTACCTAACTCCAGGTAAGAAACTGGGGTGAGAAAGGAAAAGAAGAAGGTGAAAACAAAACATTCACAAAAAATCCAGGAGGGAGAATCAACACATTAACTATGGACCTGATGGGACAGAGAAAGGTACAAAGACGCCCCAGTCAAGGCCTGGGCCTCTAAGCAGTCACACCGATTTTATGGATATTACTTGCCGTTATACGTAGGTCCACTGTCCACACTTCCTCCATATCCTTTCGCCTCACAATTTGGGGGTGCCCAGTTGCTATCACAGTGACAGTTCTTATTGCTATTACACACCTTTAAAATAATCAGAAGACCATTTTGTTCATTGTGAAAGCTACTCTTAATCAACTTCAGAATGAAAGCCAAGAGTAAGGACTAAATGCCTGCAAACACATCTTAATCTTAATCTTTAAGATTTTAAAAAAAATCATAAATAAGAAATATCCAACATCTGAAAATCTAAAAATCATGGGAATCCTCATCTAATCCTCACTGAGAATTATCATTGTTTAGCATCACTTTCAAGAAAAAGAATGCACCACCTACCCCATGTCCGTGGCACTTTTCCTGAACATCACAGTCATAATTCAGTACAGATACATTTACACACTGGAAGTTTCTACAGATCTGTAAAAGAAAATATAAAAAAGTGAAGCAAGCAAAAAGAACTGATCACATTAATAATAAAGAAGTATTCAAATGAATAAAAAAAGGAACTATGTATAGATTATGTCCTAGGGTAATGTTTTTCAAACATTCAAGGAATGGTTAATTCCAACATTGTTTTTTAAAAAGGTAGAAAAATAAATGAACTGACATAGAACTAATGATGGGAGAAGACAAGGCAAAAACAAAATTCCAGTTTATCATTCCATATGAATACAGACAGAAGAAATACTCACAGGGAACCTAAAATAACCACATGGCTAATCCCAAGACTATGGGGAGTCTCAGTAGTACCTACTACAATACCACTCAAACTGCTGTGTGTGTGTGTGTGTGTGCCAGTCTGGTGTGTGTGTGTGTGCGCGCGTGTGCGCCAGTCTGCCAGTCCTGGGTCTTGTACTCAGGGCTTAAACACTGTCTCAAGTGTTTGCTCAAGGCTAACACTCTATCACTTGAACTATAGCTCCACTGACAGCTTTGCTTAAGCACTGTCTCAAGTGTTTGCTCAAGTCTAACACTCTATCACTTGAACTACAGTTCCACTGACAGCTTTTTAGTGGTTAGTTGGAGATAAGAGTCTCTGGCTGGGAAGGTGGCTCAGTAGTAGAGCGCTTGCCTTGCATGCATGAGGCCCTGGGTTCCATTCCTCAGCACCACATAAGCAAAAAGAAAAAAGCCGGAAGTGGCCTGTGGCTCAAATGGTAGAGTGCTAGTCTTGAGCTGAAGAGCTGAAGGACAGCACCCAGGCCCAGAGTTCAGGCCCCAGGACCGGACCCCAAAAAAAAAAAGAGTCTCACAGACTTTCTTTCCCAGGCAGGCTTTGAACTGGAATCCTCAGATCTCAGCTTCTTGAATAGCTAGGATTATAGGCATGAGCCACCAGCACCCAGGTTTATAAGCTGTTAGCATTAATAAAAAAAGCAGCAAAATGAAAGCTGATAAAACTTGGAACACTTTAGCTGTTTTATTCTTTCAAAAATAAAATTATTTTGTTGGCCAAACAAAGCTTACCTCCCAGTATTTGTGATTAATGATGAATAGAGGTATCTCTATGAAAAGCACTATGGGAAACAAACCATTATCATCTCACAAGGTTCTAGAAATTCTAGCTTATGCAATGAAATATATTCCTAAATATGAAAATTGAGATTTAAAAGTATATCAGAAAAATAAGCTAAATACATAAAGGAATCAGCCAAAAACTTCCTAAAAACATTTCTGCTTTCTGGAAAAATATTATCTTTGTGAAAATTGTCCTTTTGTGATAAGATAGAAGGAAAAAAATAAAGACCAAACCTTTTATTTGGCTGTCATTGTTGTTGAGTAACCAACTCTACAAGGCCAGAATGTTTAAACGTGTTAATGAAATAAAAGACAATTTGAGAACATATAAGAGAAATATAAAGTTACTATATTCTCATACACAGATGAACGAACTGTACCTAGAGGATCTCTAAATATTATTTCCCAGCAATTGTCAGTTAATTTTTAAATAAAAAATATATGTACATGAATAAAAACCAAGATGTACATTAGATTCTACAGTAAAAAGTCATCCCTCAACTGAACACTCTGTTGAAAATGAACTATCAAACTTATGAGAGGGGATGGGAGGGAAAAACTGGAAGAGAGTCAGGGAAGGGGTGATAAGTGTCCAAAGAGAAATGTACTCTTTCCCTGACTTATATAACTTACATAACCTTTGTATATCACCTTGTTAATAACAATTTAAAAAAAAACTTAAGTCATCGCTCATTCAATCTCTCGCCCCAGTGCTCTTGGCTAAAGATATGAGAATGCTTTTTTCATATATCTGAAGTGTTTAGAGGAGACATTTACCAACAGTTTTCTATTCAATTAAAAGGAGAGATTCTTTTCAGTAACTGACTTATAGTACATTTCTGAAACATCAAGTCATAGAAATAAGATAAAAATGTGCTAATAGCTGGCAGATTTGCTTGAAAGAGCAGAAACACTCCATGTTGTCCATAGAAGGGAATTCAAACTGACAGTTTTACCTGGTGGAGCACCGCGAGCCACAGAAGAGGAATACATAGATAACAAACCACTCACAGTAGAAGAGTAAGACTATTTCTAAATGTGTTTGTGGTCAAACATGAATGATAAGCTTAAGATGAGATTCATAAGAGACATACTTATTTTCTGTTTGAGAAAATAGTTCCTTTCAAAATTGAAATGTACATATTACCAAATAAACATACATTAATTACAAAATTCTTAATCTAAAAAATCTACCCCAAGCACTCAATCCTATGGAAGTATGCATAGAAGCTGTGAGAGGAAATACAGAAAAGTTCTCCGCACTCACTGAATAAATGAGAGACAATAACAATTTCCACAATATAGTGAAATATTTGCCATATCTACACTGGGATGACACCAATTTTCATAAAACCACTGGACCTCTGCCCTGCGCAGCTAAGTAAGCACTTTCAGAACACTATTAAAGTATATGAGGGTTGTGGGAGGATGTATACTCATAAGTGCCCAGAGAGAGGATTGCACAGACAGATGGTACAATGCTAAGTTGGAAAAGAAGGGGAGAAGGAACTCAGCAGAAGACCTTTTGGGGAAAAAAAATTGTATTTCTTAATTTTATGAAAATGTGGTATTCTTATATAAAAAGTTTTGTAAAGGAAGAAACTTAAGACTAGAACACAAAATACAACCTAACTATTCTCAAGAAACATACACACAAAAACAACACTGACCAAAAAAAAAACAACAAAAAAAACCCTGTAAGACAACTTAAAAGTATGGTAATATAATAGGAACAGACACCCAAATACGCTCACAACTATTGTTTTATTTTTATTTCTAACCAAGATACCTTCAATTACACAAGTCTGGGTTTTGGGGGTGTTTTAGACTGATGAAACCATTTATTGGATTTTTATCTTTTCCTATTCTTTTTATAAAGTTAATTTACTTTATTGTTACTATAAAGGTTGTACATCGAGGGATAACGATTGCATGAGTCAGGTTATTGGTACATTCCTTTTTGTACTGCCTTCTGTTCCTTCTCTCCCAGTCCATCCTCCCATCTCTGCCCATGAGATGTGTAGCTCACTTTCATCTGTGTCCAGTGAGCACCACTGCTGCAGGTTTTCACCCTTCTTCCTTAGAGTTCTGTACCTCTCCCCCAAAGATATACACTTGAACACGCCATACATAAAGGAAAGAAGACAGAATCGTGAAAACATAGACCTCTTCTTTCCATATCTTGGAGATACACACACACACACACACACACACACACACACACACACACACATATATATATATATATATATATATATATATACACATATATAAAGAGGCATGTAGGCATTGTGCCCTTGCAGTCATGTAAGTTTTAAAAAGTGAATATTTGTGAATAGACACTGAGTTCAAGGGCACCAAATTTCCAGTAACAATGTCAAAGTAAAATGTATGAGCTGGATATATGGCTCAAGTGGAAGCAGAGCCGTAGTACTAGGCCCTGAGCTCAAACCCTGGTACTACTAGCACCAAATCCAAAACAAATCAAGGCAAAACATTACCACAAAGAACACGAAAACCTAAATTTAAGTAAATTCAAAATAGAGCAAAGAGCTTAAGCTATTAACGTAGATAATCCACAATTAAACTATTAAAGAAGCATTCACAAATATATCATCCACATGTCTAGAGCAAAAACTTTTGTAACAAGAGAAATGAAAATAGGAAGCTCTTAGGAGACTTTAATATTTCTTTCTCCAAATCTTAAACATATTAAGAAAAATAAGAATGTAATCGATCTGGATATGCAATTTTTAAATACTGCATGTTATAAGCAAGAAGATATATATATATATATATATATATATATATATATATATATATATATATATACACACACACACACATTCCTTTCAAATGTACTCAGTGCCTTCATAAAAAAATTGTACATACATACATTAGAACCTTGGTACCCAAGGATACCTGGTTAAAAGAAGACTACTGCTGAGGAAAATCCACAAATGCTCAGGATGCACAGTTAGTGCAGAAATGAACTGAGTACAGTCCAACTTCAACTAAAGGCATGCCACTTTTCAACAAACCTAAAATGCTCTCTTCATCACTTAATTAAGCATCTTCTCTTTTACTCTGATATCTGGGCTCTTATCAGCATTTTAGGGGGCAGACTTTTACAAACTAAAGGGCAGGGAAATATTCAGCAGATCACAGGATGGAAACACAAGTGGTGATACCTATCTATCAAAGTGTGCTGCCTCATGACGACATGGGAATTTCTTAGTTTTGAAATTCCCTTTGACTTTTGTTATTTATTTTTTCACTAAGCTTGGGCAAAGCCATGTGTAATAGATCAGAGACGAATCTGACTTACTATATAGTCAACATCCATCATGGCTGTTTTATTCTAAATACAAAGGAACTACTTGATAACTTAAATGTCATAAAAACAAGTTCAATTTCCAACTCACAGAGCTCATTTTCATAAAACATGTGCCTTCTTATGAACTAACTTGCTGAGCAGAAACACATTTTGTTGGTTATGATTTTTAATACTATTTGCAATAAATTTGATAGAACACGTCAAATAGCCCATCTAAAGAATGGGGTACCATGGGGCTGGGAAGGTGGCTCAGCGGTGGGTTGTTTGCTGGCAAGCCTGAGGCCCTGGGTTCGATTCCTCAGTACCACATAAGCAAAAAGAAAAAAGCTGGAAGTGGCGCTGTGGCTCAAGTGGTAGAGCGCTAGCCTTGAGCTGAAGAGCTGAGGGACAGCGCCCAGGCCCAGAGTTCAGGCCCACTACCGGACCCAAAAAAAAAAAAAAGAATGGGGTACCAGTAGCCTTTCACTAATTCATTAATTTTTTATTCCAAAATAATAACCACACATGATTAAAAATCGAATAATGAGCCAGGCATGATGGTACATACCTGTAAACACCATAG